ATGGGTACACGAGGCAATCACTTGGTAACATCAGAGGCTGTTGGGTACGGTAACAGTGTTACCAGATACCGGCGTGTTTGTATCTTTATAGAGGAAATTGGTGAAGTGTCTCTATGGAAGGAATTTAGACGATAGAGATAAAAATAAATAAGGTAGATAATTAAATAGAAAAGAAATAAAACGCGGTTTAGAGTTGTATATATATTTTTTTCTAGCTATTGATTCCAATCCTCGAATTTCATTTTCTTTTTTGGGTCAAAAATTAGGAAATACGAGAAAAAAAATAACATTTCAGAAACAAGAACAACAACAGTTAAAGAGGAGAAAAAAATAGGTTTCCATTTCACAATATCCAAATTATCCAATACAAAAGAAGGATAAAAAACAACAATTTGACTTATATTATATATACAAAATTTCACAAATCACATCATCGTTGTATATATATATATATATATATATATATATATATATATATATATATATATATATATATATATATATATATATATATACCATCTTTATTCAACTGTTCCCTAATAATTGTTTTTTTTCTCTCTCTCTCCATGACGGAAAAGGTAATAACGTGCGGACGCAAGTGTAGCGATTGGAGAAACTCCGAAGAAAGGAGGGAGAGGGGGAGGGCTGGGGAAGGGTGAGGGGTGGGGGAAGGGACGGAGGGGGGGGGCGTGGGGATGGGTAGGGGATGGGTAGGAAGGAGAGCGGGAAGGGGGGGAGAGGTGAGAAGAACAAATTATGGAGGAGAGGGGAGAGAGGGAGAGAGGAGAGAGAGAGAGAGAGAGAGAGAGAGAGAGAGAGAGAGAGAGAGAGAGAGAGAGAGAGAGAGAGAAGAGAGAGAGAGAGAGAGAGAGAGAGAGAGAGACAGAGAGAGAGAGAGAGAGAAGTGATGGGAGGCGAGGGAGAGGACGGGGGAGTGGGGGGAGGGGGTAAGGGAGAGAGTAACGAGGGAGAAACAGCCCAAGCAAAGAGGGGAGGGGGGGGAGGGGGGCGAGGGAGGAGACCGATGGTGTGGGAATGTGGGAGAGGAGGAGGGGGGAGTGGGGTGGGGAGATGGGGTGGGGTAGAAGGAGGGAGAAACAGCCCAAGCACAGAGGACTGCGGGCGAGAAGGACATACCGCTGGGGTGACTTCCTTCGTGACCTACTTTTCAAGAGGCGTATTTCAAAAAGGGAGGGGGGGGTGGGGGTGGGGGTTGGGTGGGGAAGGAGGAGGAAGGGAGGAGGAGCGAGGAGG